AACAGTGAAAAAATAATGAAAATAGGGAGTGTAGGCTGATAATGTCATTAAGTAGTGGCACATGGTTATGGAGAGCTGTAATAAGTTGATTATGTCACAATATACGATTGCTGCCCAGGGCTCTGAAGGCTCTGAATGAAGGTGTCTATGCACAGCCTGAATTTTTTGTCCTCTACAGCAATGTCTGTCTTGATTATTTGATTAATGAACTCATTAAATCCCAGTATTACTAGAAAAAGCATGTTGACCTCCTGACCGATCACAATTAATACCTAAGTGCCACTTACTCATTACGGTGGTTAGCCATCTATTTAAGCAGCAGAAGAGCATAAAAACTAGCTGTGTGTTTTGGGGATTTGTCCTACTTCACCCACAAGATCTGGATGTTAAGACAGTGTCACAGCAATTACAGGTGGAGGCCAGCTTGCAGTATGACCTACAATTACAGCAGCATCTGCTGGGTTAGTAAGATTATGACCAGTTTGGGAGCACAATCCTCCCCTGAATCAACAGCAAGAGACTCCTGCTGATTTCACTGGAGTTAAGATTTCACCCTCCATCATCACTAAACACAACAGTGAGGAACTGTAATTAAATTCAGTGAGTGTACTAATCACAGCTCAAAGTTATACATCCCTGAGTGCTAGTGTGGAGAAAAACACAGGGAGTTTTGCTCCCAGGCTGCAATGCCCGTAGTTGTGCTATGAGGATAGGTGAGTCTTTTCTGGTTTTCTCACTGCTGCATCATGTCCCTGCAAGGTAAGAGATTGACACACAGGCTCACTTCTGTAAAAAGGCCACTCTTGCTTTGTTAGAAGGTACATTATTATACAATGATGGCATGGCTCAGCTATTGTCGTGTTGCTGGGTTCATAGCTATAAAGCTATTTCAGTATCCCAGCTCATGTTTTTTGAGTGGCTGGTGTCATCATAGTAGACCCTCTGTTTGGAACTTTGAACAACTACCTTTGGTATGTCACTGATGCTTTTATGTCCAGTAGGAACTGGAGCTCCCCAGATTAGATGAGTTTAGTTAGGACAACAGAGTTGTCTCCTGTAAGCCAAAATACAACTTGATGTATCTGAAGATATTTTAGCTAGCTGTATTCACCCTGTTTTCCACAGCAGAAGAAAATACCCATATTCTGGGCTTTCAGTGAATGTTATAGGAATCCACAATGTCTTTGAGCTGCCAGGTCAAACCATGTCAAGGTCTGAATCAGATTTGGTGTTCGAGGTCTTGCAGTCACTTCTGACTGCTGGTCACTGTTACAATAGGGAAAAAATTAACCACTGGTTGTGCTATTGAGTGTGCTACTGTAATTTGCCTCCAGCTCTGCAGAATTGAAGGAAACTTGGAGGTATCCACCACAAGCCCTGGCATGGCAAGTCTAGAGATTTGTCCTCTCTTCACCTTTCACTCAGAGCTCAAGTCCCTGGGGACTAAATGGCTTTCAGCTTCCTAAACTTCAATGTGCTCACCACCTTTCCAGTTTCTCACCTGAATAGCTTCTGCCTTCTCTACCAAAGCAAAGGCTTTTGACTGAGTAACTGCCAAAGATCTGGCTGTTGTTCTCAGTTCATGCACAGCAACCCTAGAGGACATGGAACTGTCTTAGATGTCAGGATGTACTCCTACACAACCTGGCCAGCATGGGCTTTTAGAATAGTTTTATATTCATAAAGTGCACCAATTATTTCACAAAGAAACTGCTTAGAACCTCTTCAGCCTGTGAGAAGGATCATGGCCATATCAGAAACTGGGAAACATCCTAGTTCCTGTGGATTTATTTTCTGCAAAGCTGGGCAAACCCTGCAGCACTTCACTGGAGACAGTGGTATCTGTATTGCACAGAACACAGGTAAGATAGCAGTACGCTAGTAATGCCACTTGCAGGTAGCATGGGAGAGCAGACAGCACATGATGGGAAGGTCAGATATCTTCTGGACTTCCTTGGAGTGTGTAACATCATCAGGACTAGCCCACAGCAGTAGTCAAAAAGTATCAAGCAAACAATCATCTCAGTGGATACAGCAGGCAGAACATTGCTGTAATCAGTGATGTTTAATCATCTGTTTTATTCAGTTCCTCAGTGTTCAAATATTTTTTAATTTTTAAGGTTTTTTTGCAATAGATTGCTAGCAGGCTGAGAGGCATGAAGGTCAAGGCTGAGAGATTGGCTGTTTGCTATTTTATCTGTTGCAAAACAGAAAAGCAGTAGTGCTGTAGTGGATTTTCCTCCCAAGTAGGTATGGACAATAAAAAAATTGCACACAGAAACAAAACAGGAGGTTGCTTCTGTCACATCTCCAGGGCTGCCAGTCGCTCACCTTCCTGGCTGCTTGTTTGTTATTCCAGTTGAGGACAATGAGGACTTTGGGCATGTGCATGTGTTTGTCATGGTAATACGTCTGTCCTGACCTGGATCTCTGACTCTACCTATGAACAGGAGTCTAGGCTGGGGCTGCTGCGTCCAGCTCCTTGAAATTTACTGTCACCAAGGTGATGGGGGACAAAGCAAAGCAACAATTGCATTCCCTTAGCTCCAGCAGTGAAAGTTAGAGGAGCCAAAAATGTTGGGATTTAATGGCCGTCAGAAGGTAGCAACTGATCAGGAAAAGTTCACCCTGCTGTCACTCTTGATCACATAGCTCTTCTTGACCACAGGGCTATCTGCAAAGCTCCCTGTAAGGGATATGAACCCTGCTGAGATAGCATATTTTTTCCTCTTAAAGACTGATTTAAAATACAAAATCGGTTGTAGGAGCTGTTTTTTCTGGATGCTTGTTCTTTCTTTCCCCAAACCACAGCAATCTGTTATGGTAAGGTTATTTCTTCACTGACTTAGGTGGATGGTTTAAATTCCTCTGAAGTAAACTGTTTAAGACACCAAAGCACAGATTGGTACCAGGTTGGGCTGCTGTCCCCTCCATCTCCTGCCCTAGGGGGTTTCCCTGAGAGCCCATCTTGGATGAATAAGGTAGCTGTTGGCAGTGCAGCTTGTGTGAGGGTGGTGGGCTGGGATGTGGCTGTGGCAGAGAGGGAGGGGCAGCTGGAAAGGAGCCAGCAGGAGCCATTCCATTGCCAGATGTACCTGCCTGCCTCCTCCACACACAGCACCTCCAAAATGACATCCCCTGACTGGTGCTTCTCCACAGAGTGCAGCCTAGCACTGAGAGAGTGTGGGGTGCCCACTGCTAGCACTGAGGGGTTATAGTTACACCCTTCACCCCTTTTTTCCCTGGGAGGTGGGTAAAACATAAAAACATAAGAGGCAGAATGAGGCAAAATAGTGGTGTTGTGTATTCAACTCTTATTTTAAGCACATGCTAGCAGCATTTGTACACTTGTTCTTAAGAAACACACAGTGGCTCTCTATCTTCTGTTTCTGTAAGCTGTTCAGTGCTGGAAAGCAGTGCTCTGAGTAGGAGGTAAAATACAATAGTAGCTTTTGACCAGCTTTCATTTTTGCCACCTACAAAACAAGACTTTCCTAACAGAGCAGTCCAGCTGTTTTAGCATTTCTAAAAGTTTTCACTGCCTGGCAGCATTTAAGGCAATAGGCTATTCTGGTTTTCGTTACCAAGAAAGCCAGTGATTGTTGCAGTACCAGAGGCAGAAAGCAGCAGAGAGTTTTCAGAGGAGAATCCTTTGGGCTGATACAGACAATAAGATCATTTAATCAAGCTGCAGCAGTGTCCTTCCTGATGTGCCATTCAAGCTCCATGGCAGACACTTGCCTGCTCCCAGCCAGGTGCTCATTTCCAGACATAGAGCTCTTTGTGAAGGTGAGCATTGTAAATTAATCCAATGGCAATGTTTGTTTATGGAGAACTTTTTACTATATTTGAGATTCATTTGATAATGTTGAGGAAAGTAAAAGAGCAAGCAGATCTGGTTTCGTTAATGTGTGTTGTTTGGATATAAGGTTGTAAACCTTAATGAACTAACCTATTAAGTAAGTAAATGATACACCTTTTTTTTTACTTCTGCACCCTTACATTTAATCTCAGTTGTAAAACTGTGCTTTAGGAGAATCAGATGAAGGACTTAAAAATTGAACCTCTCATTCCTTCCAACAATGTTGCTTGAAGCCTAACTTAACCAAGAATAACTATGCAAGGCTTACCCTCATTTTCATGAAGCCTCTTAACAAAATGTAATACAAAGTTCATGAGAGCAACGCTTCTGTGGCCACGTACTCAGTGAGTTGCACCTCTTGTGCGTTACACTGACACCTGATGATTTGCTTAGCCAAAAAGGAAAGCCCGTCATTACAAGGGGACACAGAAAGTGAGGTTATGTGACTTGGATACAGCCACATTTCTGTCTTTAAAGTGGGAGCCTTGGGTTTATCACAAGGAGGGATTAGCCAGGAGCACACAGCACTTGTGCTTCCTTAGTCCTCAGTTCAGCAAAGACGGGTGTGTTCAGCTGGAGCGAGGCTTCTGCTGAACTTCCCTCCTTCTCAGGGGCCCCCACAGTTGTTTAGTTTGAAATTCTTAATTATTTGATTTATTCTGTTTGTTCCCTTAAGTGCTTTAAACATTGCCTCTCAGTTTATGCTGATAGATCTTTCTCTTTTTGTTTCCTGTGATCATAAAGTGTTTTAACTCATTCCAATCTTACAGTGACATAGGTAGATTTATGTTCACATAGACTAATGAGGTGGAGACAATTTCCTTTGGAAGGACTGCTGTGATTTCAATTTTGTTTTCTAACTTATGGCAATATTCATTAGGTATTTTAATGAAAAACTATGTCTCCAAGATGACGGGAGTCTTCATCCTATCAATGTGCATGTTTGGAGAAAGATATAAACAAACTTTGCATGAAAATATGCATTAATAAAGATGAGCAATATGCTATATGTGCTTGAAACAGATCTGGATCTTCTGCTTTCCTACTACATCTGCTGTCAGTGTGCTGTCATCACAGGTGTATGCATACCTTTTTTCTTTTTTTTTTTCTTTTTTTTTTTTTTTTCTTTTAATTGTAGGCTGGCAGTGATGGGGAAAGTATTGGAAATTGCCCATTCTCTCAGCGTCTTTTTATGATTCTGTGGCTAAAAGGTGTCATATTTAACGTCACAACTGTGGATTTGAAAAGGTGAGTTTGTAACCAGAGTTCTCCTTTTCAGAACAACTTTGCCAAAATGGTGATTTTAAAGGTTGGTTCTCTTTGGGTAGATTTGAAATTATCATCGTGGCTTGGCATTATGTGTAACAGTCTAGATGCCTGATTCCTCTTTGGGCTTCACTAGTATGAAGTGGACTAACTCACTTCAAGTGATTGAGATTTTAATGTTTTGCAGTAGACCTCTGTAACATAACAAAGAAGGGATTTTTGGTTTTTTTAAGCATTTCAGATCACATTCAGGTACAGGCTAGTGGATTCTCACACCACCAGTGTGAGGCAGCCGGCTATGTTTTATTTGGCAGGAAAGCCATAGAGCAACCTACTATTTTAAAGGAGAAATTGCAGTGAAGTAGAGAAATTGCAAGTCTGGTTCCCGTTGTGATTAAGCCAGTCTCTTTCCTCCCATTAGAAAGCCTGCTGACCTGCAGAACCTGGCTCCAGGAACAAACCCCCCCTTCATGACGTTTGATGGTGAAGTGAAAACTGATGTCAACAAGATCGAGGAATTCTTGGAAGAAAAGCTGACACCACCCCGGTACCAAATTCCTGATCACTTCTCTTGCTTTTACCCCCTCACGGCCCTTGATGGGGGTCAGTAACCAAACCCCCTTGGTTTTGGTGGGTCAGGCCCTCAATGAGCTGCATGTGATTGGAACTGCCTGTGGGATGATCAAGGGGGCCTGGTCCAGCTGCCATGGTAGAGCTTGCAGGGAGGTGTAACTTTGACAGATGTGAAAGCACCCGGCAGCCTGGCACCCTGCAGGGGGTGTGCCCAGCATGTTCCTGGGATGCTGCTGTGCTCCTCTGGCTGCCCTCCCTCTTGTCCCAGGTTCACTGCTGTGCCACCACTGCCACTCCCCAAGGCGTGATGTCCACTGTGCTGCAGCAAGCATGTCCAGGAACCTGGATGCTGCTGCAGAAACCTGACCTGCTTTCCTCCACTTGTGCGTGTGTGAAGTTACCCTCTTCACACTGTACAAATAATTGCTCTTACTGGGAGCAGGTGGTTGAAAGACAAGGGCAGTGAAAACCTCCTACAAGGCAGATGTGCTGGGGCTCCTTTTGAGTGACCTGTTGGGCCCATCTTAGCCCGCAGCCGGGTCTGGGTTTCGGACTTGTCCTTCCCCACCCCAGCAGTTCTCCCTGCCTCTCCCCAGACCCCAGACTGCCACCATAAGCAGCAGCGTGTACCAAACCCAGGTGCCTTCTGTCCTCTGGGACAGCAGCCCCCTCCACAGCGCTCCGTTCTCAAGCAGCCAAACCTGACTTAGACCTGGCAAGCAGCTGCTTCCCTCTTCTTTTCCCTTCCTGTATGTCCCTGGCCACAACAGCTTCTGGACTGGCCACTCTGAGCTTGCTTACAAAGGAGATGGCCAGGTGAGGAGGCTGGGAGGAGCAGCAACTATTGCAAATAGGGACTTTCCCTCCAATTCTCCTCATGGCAGAAGCCACACTCTGTGGCAGCCCCATCACCAGTGGAAGAGGCCTGGGAGGGGCACTGGGCTGTTTGGGCAGCATTTGCAGCATCATCAGTCACTTCCCTTCTCTTTTAGGAAAAGGACATCATCCTTCTAGTGTAACTATGGTGTAAATTTGCACTTGCCAAGTGATTTGTAGTTCAGGATGGTTCCCTTTGGGAGTCTTGTATGGCTGTATATTGTGACACTGCAGTGTAAATAATAATGGAATCATAGAATGGTTTGGGTTGGAAGGGACCTTAAGAATCATATAGTCTCAACCCTCTTGCATGGACAGGGACACCTCCCGCTAGACCAGGTTGCTCAGAGCCCCATCCAGCCTGGCCTTGGACATTTACAACTTCCAGGGAGGAGGCATTTACAACTTCCTTGGGCAAACTGTTCCACTGTGTCACCATCCTCATAGTAAAGAATTTATTTCTGACATCTAATCTAAATCTACCCTCTTTGAGCTTGAAAACATAGTAAATAATTAGTGAAGAGTAAAATAAAGTCTAATCATGTAACTTTTGTTTCTTTTTACTTCTCAGGTATCCCAAACTTGCACCAAACCACCCCGAGTCTAACTCTGCAGGAAATGATGTGTTTGCAAAATTCTCTGCTTTCATAAAGAACCCAAGAAAAGATGCTAATGAAAGTATGTGCTGACATCCTTTCATCAGCCTGAGGAGTTCATGGAAGAAATTAGAGCTGTACAATTCTAGCACACTATGCTGAAGATATCCCATTTACAGCTTAGGTTAAACAGTTATTTTCCAGAGCAAAAAGGCTGTGGAAATCTGCACCTATTCACTCCCTTAAAAAAAATCACTCTCCCAGAGTTAGCTTATTGTAGATACCACTGTCATCCTTAGAGCATGAGCTCCAGCTCCTCCTTATTTCTTCAGCTGTAAAACCTGTGACACTGCACCTTCCCCACAGCTCTGCTAAAAGCACAGCCCCCTTGAACTGAGACCTTCCCTTTCTACTCCATTTCTGTAAATAATGAGGACTCTAGCCCCATGACATGGCCCTCTAGAGCAGGACCCTCACTACAACCATGCATTAACTCAGCTCTGCCCTCCAGCTCTCAGCCCTTTTCCCTTTATTCTTCCCTTCTTCCTTCTCTGCAGCGGCACACGAGCACCATCAGCCTACAGAAACCCCAGCCAACCTTTGCCAGCCCCTGCTGCCCCCACCCCACTCCTTTGTGCTTAGCCAAAAGCACAGGACTCGTGTTCCAGTTTCCTGTACACCTCAAGGAGGCATCCCACTGTCCCCCAGCACTTCCCCTATGGTTCCCAAGGGGAGAGTCAGTGTGAAGGCAGAGCCCCTCTGCTGGGCCTCGCCGCAAAAGCACGCCCGGGAGAAGGGTTTTGAGAAGCCATTTCTGGTTATACAGCCCCAGTCTGTGTTTTGCTTAGAACCCCCTTTGGCTACTTAGAGCTCTTATCCCAGCATTAGGTTTAAGCTTCGGATAAAGGAATTGCGGGAGTTCGCATAGGAAGGTGTCTGCGAGCTGGGTTGATGCCAGGAGACAGGATTCGGGAGTTGCCTTTCTGCTTGGTGTCAGAGAGACCTTGGTACAGGTTTGAATAACCTTTTTATTGTCTTAACCTAGATCTGGAAAAATCTTTGCTTAAAGCCCTGCGGAAGCTGGACAACTATTTGAATAGCCCCTTGCCTGATGAAATTGATGCTTACAGCACTGAGGAGATCACTGTTTCCAGCCGGAAATTCCTGGATGGAGATGAGCTCACCTTAGCAGATTGCAACCTCCTACCAAAGCTCCATATAATCAAGGTTTGTATTTGTTTTTTATCTTCCTGATGAGAAGGGTGACACAGGAGCTTAAGTCCTTTTCTAAAAGGCAGCAGAATCCTTTATCTATTCTGAGGCCACACAATAGCTGTGTACAGACACTGAATGCTAATGAACAAGGACATTTAATTACAGCACAGATTAGGCAGATCTTCAGATTGATGACTTGAGTTAGAATATCTGGTTTTGTATCTGGGCTGTGACTGCACTTGCCAAACCTCTCACAAGTATTAAGTGCATGCTATATGCAGTGCTGTTGAGAAGTGTTTTCGTTTGCGTTTCACATGCAAAGTGCCATGAACCAATAAAATTAAACAGTTTTGTCTGTGCTAATTCAAGAAGCCAGCAAACCCTGAAGTTTGCACCTGTGTCTCCTTTCAGTACAAAACTTTTGCTTAGCTGAATATCATCCCTAGTACCAATGATGCTGGCAGGGTAGCCACCACCCACTGCCTTCCAGCCAAGGCTCCCAGCTTCTTTTTACAGGCCTGTGGAGCATCCACACACACCTAACAATCCTGGTGACCAAGAGGTCTAGATGTTGTCACAGCCTGTCCCTGGGCTACCCTGGAGCCAACCAGACTCTGGAAAAGACCACACTGGAAGTTCATCTGGTTTTCAAACAGACAAGGTCACTTCAGAAAGTTTCCTTTCTAACTGCTGTTTTGGCAGAGGAAGAGTGGATTGAATTGCTTTCTGACACCTCCATGAGTGAAAGCTTTTCCCAGAGATGTCCTGGTTAAACCTATTCCAGAGAGAGCAGCAAGGGAAGGAGCTCTTTCCCATGCCCACACAAAGCTCAGGAACAGCACAGCACGAGAGGTAGCAGGGGTCAGCAGAGCCAATACAAGGAGAATCACCTCAAGTCAGGTGAATGTGTGAAGAATGATGGAACATCACACCATCCTTGCTGGCCGACAGTGAGGGATTAGGTATTGGCCAGTAGTTGTTTTCCCTAGACATTTCAGATTTAGTATTTTAATTCATTTTTTTCCTTTCTGTTCCAGTGAAAGTCTCCCAAGTGTAGGCTGCTTTATTGCTGGAAGACTATTCTGTTAATTCTAGTTTATGCTAGCTCCTTTGCTGTTTTAAGCTTCATCTCTTCAGGTGTGATCAACTGGTCCACACAGCTCTACGTAGCTCTAGCAGAATATTAATACCAAAAAAATCCTTTAAAGTCAGTTAGCTTGCTAGCTAGCTTTCTTCATCCCATGTCTTCTGGAGGGTTTTTTTGTGTTTCCTTCTCCTTTCCCTCTACATTGCATATAATGACAGGCTTAGATGTTGAAAATTAAGAATGTTCATAACGAGTAGATTTGGGGATTTTTTTTGCAGATCATGTGTCTAATGATATTTTTCTTTTTCCTTTTCATAAAAGGTTGTTGCAAAAAAATATAGAAATTTTGATTTTCCACCTGAGATGACAGGGATTTCAAGATACTTGAACAATGCATATGCAAGAGATGAATTTACAAACACTTGTCCTGCTGATCAAGAAATTGAGTATGCGTATTTGGATGTTGCAAAGAGGATGAAGTAAACAGAAGATGCCTCTGTTCTTTATTGCTTCTGAGATTTAGATGGGCACTGGCCAAGACAGAATAAAAGAAGCCAGGATACACTCTGCAGTGTAATTTAAAGTTCTGCTATTGGCCATTCCTTCTTTGATAATCATTGTATAGCTTTATTTGCTCATTCTTAAATTATGTATGTATGTTTGTGTGTCTGTACAGATGTCTGCACACATGAATGTCAGTTGTGCATTGCAAGTTCAAGGCATCAGTCAATATTAAAGCATTTGTTGAAGTTAGGGAAACACAAGTATAGGAATATTGCAGATTAGTGACTTAATGCTAAATTGCTGAATTGTGAGAAGAAATAGCCCTGTTTCTAACACACATTTAACCTGTCGTTATTGCTGCCTCTGATTTCTGTTTCACAGTTGTTGCCAAACTTCAGTTGCCAGCAGGGTTTCTGTTTGCTTCTCTGCAAGCCTGAGAGGGCTACAAGCCAGCAGCTGATGCCCATGCAATGCCCTGGTTAACTCAGGAGAAAGGTCAGCTTGTAGGTGGGACCACATCTGATATCCCAGAAGCCCTGTCCTCTGTGCTAGAGACCTGCAGGGCAGGTCAATGAAGAACAAATCCTTTTCACATTGTGTGAGTTTTCTTTGAAATTAAATAAAATCTGCCTTCTCCTCTTTCAGGGCTGCATAACCCATAAAACTTCCCTCCTGGTGCTCCCAGAGTGCGGCACAGGCTGTCACTGGCCCATGGACTATCTGATGATAAATCTTTGACAAGGGAGGAGGGAAAGACTTGGTTGTCACTGTAGACAGAAGAAATGTGTCATGAAGATGGGTGATCCTACTGACATAGGATATCTCTTTGTCATCCTTCCATGACTTACTTAGTTTTGGAAAGCAAAAAGAAGGAGAGGGTCCAAGAAAGAAATAGTCTTTATATACTTCCTTTTTGTGGTTGAGCTCCAGCATATTGGCTTTACCAGGGCAGCTGTTCATTGCTGAGAGCTTTACAGCTGATCAGATAGGTATCTGTCAGAAACAAGGCAGATCTACCTCCTGCCTTAGGTGGGGGATGGATGGGATTAACCCCTCCAGCCTTGCATGACTCTGCGTTCCAGTTAGCTAGTACTGGTGGGGAACACCCTCTAGCCTGGCCTCTGGGAACACATTATTAGAGGTGTATGGACTATGAAAAGTGATGTTCACAGCTGCTTTCTGCTGAGCAGGTCCTCAGCAAGCACACAGGAGTAGAGGGTGCAATGCTTTAATTGCAAGGTCACCTGAAAGTTTCCTTCGGATGGATTTTGCCTGTATGAACAAATTAGGTGAGAAAATGGCTAGAAATAGCCTTTGTAGCATCTATATCCACAAAAAGACAGTTACAAACTACTTATTTGTCCTTGCCCATGTCAAACATGCGGTTGCTTTCTAACAAAGTGTTACTTCATGGTAATAATCATCGGCAGATACGTTGTGTCTGCAGGGTCTTCATCTTGCTACGCAGTTCTGATGCAAATGTGCTATCATCACAATTATTTGCAAGCATTGTTCAATATGCAGTTTTAGATTGCCTTTAGAGGAAACAGCCACCATACCTTTCCTCTCCCACCCTCAATTGTGAACTCTCCTGTTGGGGTTGATAGCTGAGCAGTCACTTATCACATATTACTAACTGTTACTTTGTATTTTCAAGTACATACATATATATATATGATATATAAAAATGAAATCTGTATACTCTTTTCATATGCCTTACAAATTTAAATAGAAAATATACAAATTCATAAGCAATTTGCACAGTGTTCTGTCTTCATTGCCTGGGTAATTTCCTGGTATGATGTGTTGCAACAGTGGCCTGAATTTTAAGAAATAAGAGGCAAAAATTAACACAGCTTTGATTTTGGAGGAATCCTGTATTTTGCAGACCTGCAGTGAGATATTGGAAGAATCACATGCTGGCTGTTCCCATTATTGCTGAATGAAAAAATCAAAGGGCCACTGTGTACTCCACTGAGCCACCTGGCACAGATTTTCCCACATCCGAGCTGGTTTGGAGCCGGCCATATGGGTAATTGTTTGGTCTCAGCGAGATCCACCTGGGATGATCCAAAGCAGCCAGGGACTGTCCATGCTGCTCAGCAGGTCTTGCAGCAATCCAAATGTATGAGCCTCCTCCTGGCCCTCTATTACTTCTCACCATATGTACAGTTATGGCTGTTTTTTATCAATAAAAAGAGTCTGGGCTATTCTCTGGCCCAGAGAGCATGTAGCAACGTGTGCATCACATCCGTACTGCACGGCTCTTTTCTGCCTCCTGGAAACAGGGTGGCCACACTGATTGTGGAGGACACTACCTATCTCCAGATCATGCCTGGATGTTGGAGACAGCAATGCTCTTTGGTACAGATCAAAGCATCTGTAAAACAAGTCTTGAGGTTGGTGAAGATGAATGAAAATGTTCATGTGAAACAGTAGAAGAACAGTAGAAGCAGAAAAACATGGCTTAAAAAAAGGAAGAAGTTAGTCACTACAGGGCACAGTAAATTCATTCGAAAGATCTGATAGCAAGAAGGGAAAGAACAAACTGAAGCCTCAAGCTAAGGTAAAGAAATGAAGACTAACAGGAGGAGAGCCATAAAATGTCCTGATAAAGAAAACAACAGAACAATGGGAAACAGAAATTTTGCCTTTGACTTAAAGCTCTTGACAGATCCCTGGGGGTTATAAAAGGCACATCCACAAAACAGCTTGTTGTCACCAGTGAAGAACCCAAGAGCTGTGCCAGGACTTCACAGGTGGCACTGGCCTGCCACCTCACACACAGACTGCCTCGGGAGGTGTCTGGGTGCAGGTGACCCATGGGACACTGAAAGTGAGTAAAATACATGGCATTTAGAATAAATATAACCCTTGCTGACTGGAAAGGGCAAGAGCCATATCTGCCTGAAACACCATGCTGCTATGTTATGTCTGTGTTTATGCTTCATAGAAACCATGAAACTTCTTTTTGCCTCCAGGTCATTTCACCTTCCTCACCCTATCCTTTTTTTCTAAGGCTTCATTAGAATCACATGCCTGCACTTCCAGTGCTGCCAGGTGAAGGAAAATAAAGCTCCAGACGTTCAGCAAACAGGTGGGTTTTTATCCTTAAAATCTGACAGTGTTTGGGGGGTTATTGAATGAAATGCTTGTGGCCATGGATAGTTTTGAAACCTAATGTTTTGTGGTTTCCTTACTCCTCTTACTCAAGCTGAAGTTAATGTCTCCAGCCCTCCATGCTGGATTGTTGGGCACACATGATGCTACCTAAAACAGAACATGATGGTCAGTATTCACATATTTCAGGCCACACAGAGAGAAAATATGGGTAGATACATGCTAGGAATGATCCAGCAAATCAGAAAACAGAAATACCTTAATTTGTCCTGGAATAGGGTGAGCCAAAGTGTCTACACAATCCCACAGTAAATGAATCCATCTCTACTACACATTCTGAGTGTCTGAGTCTTAAAGCATTATTTTAAGAAAATACCTTTGTCTACATTTGAGTTATTCTATTTTTAAAAGACCATTGAAATATATTTTTTTAAACAACTTACTGGAGAACAAACTAGATGAGATAAAGGGAGAGAGAACGCAAATTGTGATGTTAATGGTATCACCAGCAGTCTGAGTGGTTTTGACATGCAGTAAGATGGACTACCTAGACATAGATTTGTAGTGCTTAATCCCATGCCAGGGCAGAGATTATGTTCCATTATTTAAAGGCATGTTTGTGGAGATGAAGCTATAGGTTTCCAAATGCTTATTAGCACAAGTAGTCTTCTGTGAAATGTTACTTGTACAAAAGATGTTTTTGTTTCATTATCATTTTAAATAAAATTTTATGTGTCCCTTTTAAGCACCTAATATACATAAGGCAAATATGGTCAGTTATTTTTATTAATTACTCTTCAACTACTTGTGTAGAAAACTCTTCAAGATTTGTATCTTTCTTTCTCAGCTCCAGCAGAAACAGGACCCACCAACTTAAAGGTTAAACACTACTTGTGCTCAACACAGTATTTCCAAAGGCAAACTGAAATAAAATTAAATGCATGGTAACTAACTGTTACATAATTCCGCCAATGCATTCTTTTTTTTTTTTTCTTTTTTTTTTTTTTTTAATATAGCTTCAAAGCAATGAAAAAATAAACCTCATGAAAGCAAGTTAGTATCCCTCATCTGTATCAACATGCTATTTGTTTGAGTATAAGCAAATATCTACATTTCACAAGCTCCTTACAACTGGTTGAAATTCAGTTTAAAAGCAAAGGGTTTTTCCTAGGTTATTAGAAAGGTTACTTCTAAGCTGTCAAGGAGCAGTTACCAACTAACTGCTAAGGAGAAGCATGACCCTGAGAGTTCAAGAAAAGAGAAACTATCCATATCGTGGTAGAGCCTTGACCAGGTTAACAAACATCCCTCTCAACTAGCCACCCCAAATGCTGATATCACCCAACCCAGATACCCCCATGGGCTGTTAAAAGCTATTTAAAGGCTCACAGTGGTTCTGTGGACATTCACTTTACTGACCACGCATGGGAGCTGCTGCCCTACAAACCGAGTTTCCTGGTGTAAGATCTTGAACACATGGCCAGGCTGGGATAGCAGAGGTTTGCTACATGGCTCCCAACTAAATTCTCCGTCAGCAGTCTTAACTGGCATCGTATCCCTGAACTACATAGTTGTCTAATGTGACAAAGACCCCAGACCCCACTCAGCAGCAATGTGGTAAAGCAAGCTGGTTGCTAATGCATGGCCCAGACCAACATTCTGTTTTTCTTCACTAGCAAACTGCAATGAAGTGAGGGATTTAAATTTTTCCAGGCCCTGGCCTAAATTAAGACTCCCACTGGTTAAGATGTTTTTATTGATGAGCAGAATGCAAACAGAAAAATCTCTTCTGGAAATGAACTAAGGGAAACAAAAGTCTTATTTCAAAATTTGAAAATTGTACAGCTTTTTTATTAAATCAAACCAATGAGAGGAAATAAGAGTAAAAATTTCTTTTCAAAAACTGAAGGCAATTGTTTTTGTTGGGTTTCTTCCTTCTATCATTCCCTCCCCTTTTATTCTTTTTACTGATGAAAGAGGAGAAATGAGACCTAGAAGTCCTGGAGAAGAAAAGAAAAACAACCACTTTCATCCAGCTTCTTCATTTTGAACACCTTAGGATCAACACCAAGCTACTAAAAGTTTCACTCCTCTCAAGTGATGATATGCAGGGAAGACAA